CCCTTGCCCGGGCGGGCCGAAGGCGCCGTGCCGTGAAGATGGGCGCGGTGAAGCCCAGCTCCTTGAGAACGGGGGTGCCGCTACCCTAGTCGGGGGGTTCATCGCGAAGAACGTGTGTTTTCCCCCCAATGGGATTTGGCTTAGCAGCTGTCCCCTTTGATACCGCCTTAGGTAACTGGTTTTGGGGGCTGTTTTCCAAAAGAAGACAGTACATCAAACAGCCAAGCGATACGGTTATTCCCACGTTGATGTGAACCAAATGCAGTGTCAGCAAAAAAGGCGTTGGAGTCCCCTCCTTATGATGCGCTGTGCAGCAGGTTTATAAAGCCTAGGCTGTGTGTCCTCTTGTTCACTTAAATGATAACAGTCCCAAATTTTTCAGTGCAGGTGGGAGCAATTTCTGGCCATTATATTGTGAGCCTGGTGTTAAACTGCCTCTAATCCCAATAGTTTGGATTTTCCAAAAGGGTTGGAATTGGTGAAAAATTCGGCAGAACCGTACATCTAGTCTAATCTAGTTTCTCCACACAGCCAGTATCGGGTGTTTCACAGAAAAAGGTGCAAGAAGTCCAAGAGCAGGCAGATGCTGAGTAATTTTCTGTCATTACAACTCCAGCGTGTGTTGGCATAAATGCCGAAGTGGGCTGTTTTACCCCTACTGCAGTGGCCCTGGCCTTAACTGTTAATACCAGGTACTCCAATTAAATGTGCAGCCTCCGTCCAACCCTTACCCAAACGCTTGACGTCATGGGCGCATTATGTCAGCAAGTTCCACAGTCACCATATTGTGTGACAAACAGTTTGCCATTTTTGGTTTTGCAAATTTTCATTTTAACACTGCCTTATTACTGGTATGTGCAACAGTCCTGATCTGGCTTCTGAACAACATTACATTGTTTTATACCTTTATTGCTCTACTCAATCTTCTGAGGTAAACTGTTCAAACCTTTTTGATCATTATTCCTCTGAGAATTGCTACTTCTTCCATTGCAAGCTCTCAGGCCTCGAGTTCCAGAACACCCTTCTTCAGGCTGAGGTGGCCCATGGTCAGTGTTGCAGAAAAGTCAATGGCGCAGAAGTATGTCTGGTTTCTGCAGAATTATTTTTCATTCTCTTTCATATGTTTCCTAACATCTCAGTTGTTTTTCGGTTTTATGACAGATTGAATACAGCTGTTATCACACTGGGATAATGTCCAATTCCCTTTTTCAAAATTATCAAAGAGTTAATTTAGAATCCTATATCGTGTATTTATAAAGGATTTTTTCTTCAAGACAGCAATTTGTCATTTGTATTATGCCAGTGGTCACAGTATTTGCCATTTTATTGACTGTTCACTTAGTAGGGTGGAAGACTTCTCAACTTCAGTGTCCTCAACTGACTAATTTAAATAACTAATTCACAAATGTTGTTGCTGAATGGTTGGTCCCTTTCTAATTCTTCTATACTAGAGGCCTTAATATGAAATCTCTTTTTCATCTCTGCTCAATAAAACGAATAATTTCTTTCTGCTTTCTCTCTCTATCTCTTAGGTAGCTTTTGAGTCATGTTAATACTTGGTCTAATGCCAAGAATATCTAGTTGTGGGCTACCTTTAGACTTACAAATGTCTAAATGATTGACATAACTGCTTTTTTTTTTTTTTTAAACTACTACATATCAATTTCTGCCAAATAAATGAATTCTTAGAAAACAAATATAAATTGGTGATACATTTTCTTCTGTGTATTCTTACATAGTGATCTACAGATTTTCTAGGTACTCAGAGTTTTTACTTGTGCTTATATATATGCACACTGTACTGTATAATCTTACTGTGTTTTCTACAGGAGAATCAAGACCTTTTTGCTTTTGGTGAACAATTGGAATAATATGGTGAATAAAGACTAGATCAACAGACCATCTGCATGTTGGAAGATGCTGAGGACTTTCTGTTCCTCATCAAAGTATCTAATAGAGCTTAAAAATAAAAAAATTTATATATTGTGTTGATAATTTGTCTGAGTTAAAAATCTTAATCCTATGGGCCAGTTTTAGGAGGTCAATTCTTCTAAATAATGGTAAGCTAATTTAAGTGCAGTGATTTTAAGGGCATCTTTTTCAGTTCTTTTGAGCAAGCTTCTTCTGAATTTAGCTTGGGTTGCAGTTGCTTAGTACATCTGAAATTTAGGACATTGTAATTTGACATCATGTTTTGCTATATTAAGGATACCAATTAAACTCAGACACCAGAGTGAAAAGAGTAGGTGTATTTTACTGGTGATAACCAATGTAACAGTGTAATACAGAAGACATGCAGTAAGAAAGGGCAGAATAATGCACTTAAATCAACGAAAAGGAAAATACAGGGTAATGCATCAAATCATTACTGCACGAGAGAGAGAATAGGGATTAAGAAAGATCCATCACCACTTGCATACTTTACCATCATCCAGCCCCGCAGCGGCTGGGCAGCCCCGGTCACAGCGAGGGTTTGCAGAGCCTGTCCCGGCAAGGGGGAAATCCTACGCGGTGCGTCCACCCATATGTGAGGCTTCCAAAGTCACTGCAAACGGGCCCAGCCTTATGTACCAGAGATCGACAGGCCAGAACAGCTGGCACCTTTGTTTTGAGCGAAAAAAATCTGGTTTCATTCTCCTGTTGGATTCCACCCAAAGCCTGGCCAGGGCTCAGGGGGGGAAACCAAGGGAGATTGTAACAAGGCCAGATCCTTGGGTTGTCAGCCTTGAACAAGTATCTGGTCTTGTTAGAAACTTGAACAAGGCTGAGAAAGGAAAGCTGGGTACATTCTCTCCTCACTACCAACTACATTTTGTCTAAGCTGCGTCTCTCACTAGCGAGTTTACATATTATATTAATGACTACAGGATAAGTTATCAGCTTCAGCCTGGGGCCTATTGTTCAGGCTGCAGTATTTCAATGCTTTAGCACTTTTTACATAAGCATAGGTGGGTTGTTATAGCTTAGTACAATACCTACTAGCACAATGGTTATCAGTTATAAAATATACAGGATTCATCTATAGGTCAACTCTGGCTTGGGCTTGTTGTCCAAACCTCAGCACTTCACATCAAAATTACTGTCTTTTTAAAAACTAGTGTAAAAAACTGTTTTTACTTTTACAATGAGGGAACCAATACCTCTTTACATTAAAAAAAAAAATCCATGAAGATAACAGAGGTTAGCAACAGCTTGCAGGGAGTCTGAAAATGTACAGAGACCAACCTAATAGTTCTGAACATTCTGTTCTTGTTGGGCATCTGTTGTGATCAGTGTGAATCAGTCTTCCCCATGGCAACTTATAATTGTAAAACCCACTTTAAATACTGTAAATAAGTGTATTTAAACACCAAGTGTAGCCAAATAAAAGACAAGTCTGAGTTTAGACGTGTATGAAATCCAGTGTGGTTGTTTATATCAAACATGAGCTATGTTTGTAGTCTAATGCTCTAGTATCCCAGAACATTTGGAAAACTTGGATCCAGAGGCAGATCGTGGTCTCAGTTTTGCCAGTGGGGCACATTCTTAGTTGAGAGAATGTTTTCTTCATATCAACTACGTTGTATCACATGGAATTTTTATGTTCAGATCTGAAAAATCTAAATGATTTAATGGCTGAATTTACAGACATTTTCCTGACTTCCATTTTACCAACTTAATCTAGAAATTATGCATTTCTCCATCTTACCTTAAATTTTGGCCCCACTTTGTTCAAAACAGTTACAAATATTACAATGCAGTAGTTAAACTTAGTCATGTTTAAAATGTAAGACTGCAGAAGAGGAAAGATTTACATGGTGTTACATTTCATTGTCTGTATGCTGGTTTATATATCTCCAGATAGTGATCCCCAAAAGCTCAGAATATTTCAAAATATAACATATTTTATTATATGGTGTATTGTATTATATAGTAGCAAAAAAAAAAAAACAAAACCAACCAACAAATCTAATGTTTGTTTCTTCCTTAGAATCACAGAAACAACAAATGTGGAACCATAAAACAATAAATATGATGAGAAACACTCCAGATTCTCCAAAAAATAAGTTCTGAGTATTTCCACTCCATTTGTTTTTCATGTTTCCATCAGTTTGATGTGAATTATGCTTTGATGCTTTTCACAATGTGAAGAGACATCATTGATTTTTCCTCACACTGTAGCTTTTCTTCTTTACTCAGTAACGCTCATTGTGGCCATTCCTTTCAAGCACCTACATTTTGTTTGAAAATGCAACAATTATCTATTGTCATGTTTCACTCTGCTTCTGAATGTTCCATTTCACTCTAGTAGAAGAACGCTTTATTTCCAGAGGTCTTATTTTTGTCAGCTAAATTGAACATTCAGAAAAAAAATGCTAAGGGCCAGAGTCCTTCCTGCCCAGTGATATGGTAGGTGTAGAGGAAGGAAGCAGAACAAAGCCTGCACAGCCTGCACTGCTCTTCATGCTCCCGACACTGCTACACCTTCCCTGGCATTGCCTGTTGGACTAATGTGGAATCTGCAGCCTATTGTGTTTCAGTGACAGGAGCCCATCCAAAATCAGTGGGTTTGAATGGTCACAATGAACATGTCTCTTAACTGGTTTATGCACGCAATTATTGCTATCTAGGGACACCTTTGAAATAAAACATATAAAGAATGGCTGCCTCAGCCATGTGATTGCTGAGCACACTGTGATCAGCCTGCAGAAAGCACCAGCCCTGACAGCAA